GAGGAGGAGGAGGAGGATGAGGAGGAGGATGAGCAGGAGGGGGAGGACGAGGAGGAGGAGGAGCAGGAATAGTAGGAGGAAGACGGGGAGGAGGAGGAGGAGGAGGAGGAGCAGGAGGAGGAGGAGGAGGAGAAGGAGGAGGAGGAGGAGGAGGCGGAGGAGGAGGAGGAGGAGGAGGCGGAGGAGGAGGGAGGAGGAGGGAGGAGGAGGAGAAGGAGGACGAGGAGGAGAGTCCCACAGAGCGCGAGACGCCCACCCAGCTCAGGCGGCTGCCGGCAGCCGAAAGAAGGACTCTGAGAGCCTCACGGGCGCATGCGCACCCGTGGGGCTCCAGACCGGGTCCGAGGCACCGCTGTGGTGACTCTGTGGCGCCCGAGAGTGCTGTTGATGGCGCCGCACGATCATGAAGCAATCATGCGACGCGGGGATTCCCGTACGTGCATATCTTTTCTAGCGTTTCCACGTTTGAACGTTCGGGGACGGGTGCGTCTGGTTGTGAGCGAGCCTGGCCGACGATCTGGGCGCGAACGGGCCCGTGATACACCCCTCTGCGGGCCCCCCTTGGGGAGGCCCCAGTGGCCTGCTTCATCGCAGCGGAGCTATGGAAAGAGAGGCGCTCACCCTTTCAAGAAGGCCATTCTACCCGAGAGGGCCCGACAGTCTGTCTGCGAACTGACCCGTGACGAACTCCTCGGCGGGTCCCTCCTGGGGAGGCCCACGTGCGATGCACGCTGCGTCGATCACGGGGCTCAGAAGAGACTCGCGTATACAGTGCCGTTTTTAATACATACTCCGCGTGCGAATCATGTATTAAACATGTAGGTATTTAGTATAAAAAACAAAGATGAGTTCATGCATGAATTTATTCATACATTAATCATGAATTAAACATCCTATAAGTTTAAAATCTTATGTATAAAAAACTGCCCTGTACACCGAGGGACAAAAAACGACGTAAACATAAACTTTTGGCGTTCCGCGCGGATTATCTTGGACCTGCGCCGGCCCCCCCTCTGGCGGCGCCTCAAGCGCCGCCCTTGGCGCGCTCCGCGGGCCGGGGAGGGCGGTCCAGCGCAGATCCACGAGATCCGCGCGGACCCTCACAGCTTCGTCGTTTACGCATTTGTTGCCCGTGATGCGCCCTGCTCGTGCGGCCATCCTGCTCCAGAGGTCTGGCCCCGACAATCCAGGCGCGAAGGGGCCCGTGAGATAAATGCCCTGTTGGTCTCCCGAGGGTGGCCCAGGTGCTGTGCTTACTACTCCAGGTTTCGTAACAAAAGGGAGGGGGTCACAACCCTCCCAGACGAAAAGTTTTGGACCCCCCAGACTATCCATGAAAGGGCCCAGACCCCCCCGAACCCTCCAAGACAGCTCAAATAAGACCCCCCCCCCCGAATGTGACCCCCCCCACTTTGTTATGGAATCCGGAGTACACCGCGACAGCCACGGGCCTCCGAACAGAGACGCTTCGAATTTTCCAGGACTGCAGTGTTGCCCCAGATTCCCCGACTGCCTGGGCGCGAGAGGGCCCGTGAGACGGTTCCTGGCGGGCCCCCCCCCCCCTGGAGGCCCCAGAGCCATACCTGCTATGTCGTACATGTGAGTGTTAGCGAGTTCGGAGCATGAACAGCATGAGTGAGTGTGAGTGTGAGGAGTCTAAGCGTAAGTGTGGCCTGGGTATGGGTGGTCAGAGTATGGGTGAGTCTCAGCGCCGGTGAGTCTGGGCATGAGTGAGTCTGCCCATGAGTGGTCGGAGAAGGACAGGAGCTGATTGTGAGCGAGTCTCGGTATGGATATGAGTGAGCCTGAATGTAAGTGGGTCTGAGTGTGACTGGTCTGTGCATGGGTTGATTTGAGTCTGAGGAGGAGGAGAAGGAGGAGGAGGAGGAGGAGAAGAGGGAGGAGGATCTGGCGGGTGGCAATGATGATGCGGATGATGATAATGCTGATGATGAATCTGATGATGCTGATGATGCTGATGATGATGCTGATGCTGATGCTGATGATAATGATGATGATGATTCCGATGATACTGATGCTGATGATGATGCTGATGATGGTGCTGATGATGCTGCTGATGATGGAGATGATGCTGATGATGCTGATGATGCTGCTGCTGATGATTATGATGATGATGCTGCCGCTGCTGATGATGAAGGTGATGATGCTGCTGCTGATGATGCTGATGATGATGAGGATGATGATGATGATGCTGCTGCTGCCGATGATGCTGATGATGCTGCCGCTGCTGTTGATGAAGGTTATGCTGATGATGATAATGATGCTGATGATGCTGCTGCTGATGATGATGCTGATGATGATGCTGATGCTGATGATGCTGATGATGCTGATGATCATGCTGATGATGATGACGCTGTTGATGATGCTATTGATATTGATGATGCTGCTGTCGATGATGCTGATGATGACGACGATGCTGATGATGATGATGATGATGATGATGATGATGATGATGATGATGATGATGCTGATGATGATG